CTCAGTTGGTATGTGACTGCCTTCGGCTCAGGTCATGATCCCAGGGTCCTGGGATAGAGCCCCACGTCGAGCTCCCTGCTCTGCGGGGAGCCTGCTTCTCCCTTTCCCGCTCCCCCGTTTGTATTCCCTCTCTCACTGTCTCTCTGCCAAATAAATAAATAAAATCTTTAAAAAAAAGACTCCGCTCAGCTCTTTCCCTGCCACCACCAAGTGGCGCAGAAGCAGAGGCTCAGGTGCCGTCAAGATTCGGCTACACTTGTAATCCACAGCCATGCCGCCATGGCCGAGGAAGGCATTGATGCTGAAGGTGTAATGGACGTTAATACTGCTTTACAAGAGGTACTGAAGACAGCCCTCATCCACGATGGCCTGGCACGCGGAATTTGCGAAGATGCCAAAACCTTAGACAAGCATCAAGCCCATCTTTGTGTGCTTTGCGCCCAACTGTGATGAGCCCATGTATGTCAAGTTGGTGGCCCTTTGTGCTGAACACCAAATCAACCTAATCAAGGCTGATGACACAAGAAACTAGGTGAATGGGTAGGCCTCTGTAAAACTGACAGAGATGGAAAGCCCCACAAAGTGGCTGGTTGCAGTTGTGTGGTAGTTAAGGGATATGGCAAAGAATCTCAGGAGAAGGATGTCATCAAGGAATACTTCAAAAATGCAAGAAATGAATAAAAAATTTGGTTTTTGTTGAAAAAAAAAAGGGGTGGACTCAGCTCAGACACCTCATCTCTCTCTTCAGGAAGCTTTCTCTGAGTGACATTTGTCTCCCTGCCCCATCCTCACCCCAGTTTGGATTAAGCCTCTCCCCTGCCATGTACTTTTTTTTTTTTTTTTAAGATTTTAAAGTAATCTCTACACCCAACGTGGGGCTTGAACCCACAACCCCAAGTCCAAGAGTCACATGCTCCACTCACTGAACCAGCCAGGCACCCATCTCCTGCTAAGTACTCTTAAGCACCCCACATTTAGTTTGTTAATAGTACACGTCACAATGCACAGTTGTTTTGTTTACTCCACTTGATTAAGTTCCTTGGAAATTACAAATGTGTCTTATGTTTGTACAGTCAGTGTGAGGTATGTTAACAGATACTTAACTAAAATTTAAATAAATACATTCCTTGCTATTCTCTAAAAAAATAGAAAAATTATCTGGAAAAGCTATAAAATCTAGACTGCTTGCCCCCATCCCTAGAATTCTGGATTCAGCTGGTCCAGGACAGGACCTAACGAGTTCCCAGATGATGCTGACACTGCTATTTCAAGTTATCGGTGCTCCAAATATATTTTCTCTTCCTATCTCCAGGATTTAAAGTCTTTTCCTAGATGCCTCCAACTCTTCCTTCTGCAATCCTAATACCGTTTTCAGACCCAAGTCAATTTTCACCTCCTTCATAAAACTTTCCCTAATGCCAAAGGAAATTAATCTTGCTCTTTCCTCAATTTCTATCAGGCTTTGTGTGCATTATTCATATGATAACTCGGGACTTTTTTCATACCTACTGGCATTTGTCTAATGTTCTAGATTTAAATGAAGATAGGAAACCTGCATTGATCATTTTAATATTTTCAACAACCAAGCACAGTAACCAGTGAACAGCAGACAAAAACTACAAGTATCTGTGATATGAATGAATCCCTGTTGCTTACCCAGACTCTGGGCCCACGGTCTGACTTGCTTAATTCTCCTGGCCCAAGCTGACTTCCTTATACTGCCATGTACTTCTGCTTGCTTTACCACCCATAACAGAGGCCTGATCTACCCAGAGTTATCTGTCCCTCGCGTTGCTTTGCTGACTAACCCTCAGTCAGCTTCTTTACCTTGCAATCTATGCCTTTTTAATTTTCTCATCCACTATGGGACATAATGAGCAGAGAAATTTTCTCATGAGTAATGTGAATTTTAATTCTGCTGGCCATAAGACAGGTTGCTTACTTTGTTGTTGCTATACAGCCTTTCTCACAAAATCTGAACTAAAATATGCTGTGTGCAACTCCAGTGCAGGTATCATGGACAGTAACAAATGTTTTGACTTCTATTTACAGATTAGGGAAATTATTTTATTTTATTTTAAAGATTTTATTATTTATTTGAAAGAGAGAGAGCATAAGCAGGGGGAGCAGAAGGGGAAGCTGAACAGGGAGCCCAATGCGGGGCTCGATCCCAGGACCCCAGGATCAGGAACCGAGCCAAAGGCAGACGCCTAACCAACTGAGCCACCCAGGTGCCCCAGACTATGGAAATAACTTTAATAAAAAGTTTAAAAACACAAAGACATAGAAAGGTCATTTATAAAATTAAAGGTTTTCCTAAAAAAACAAATTTAAAAGAAAAGCCAATTACTTACACACCGTATTCATATATGCATCCAAAATAAAATCCTATTTTTTTTTTAATATTTTATTTATTTATTTGACAGCGAGAGAGAGAGCACAAGCAGGGGGAGCGGCAGGCAGAGGGAGACCCAGGTTCCTCGCTGAGCAAGGAGCCCGATGCGGGGCTAGATCCCAGAACCCCGGGATCATGACCTGAGCCGAAGGCAGTGGCTTAACCAACTGAGCCACCCAGGCGCCCCAGAATCCTAGTTTTAAATTATCCTAAGTACATGGTAAAAACTATTTCTGATGCAAGAAAAGTTAACTAAGTTTCTAAAAACGCTCGTACAGGGGCACCTGGGTGGCTCAGTCAGTTAAGCATCTGCCTTTGGCTCAGGTCATGATCTCAGGGTCCTGGGATCGAGCCCCACATAGGTCTCCCTGCTCAGCAGGAGTCTGCTTCTCCTTCTTACTCTCCCTCTTTGCTATCTCTCTGTCTCAAAGTCTTTAAAAATAAATAAATTAAAATAAATTAAAAAAATAAAATAGGGTGCCTGGGTGGCTCAGATGGTTAAGCATCTGCCTTCGGCTCAGGTCATGATCCCAGGGTCCTGGGATCGAGTCCTGCATCAGGCTCCCTGCTAGGCGGGGAGCCTGCTTCTCCCTCTGCCTCTGCCTCTCTCTCTCTCTCTGACTCTCATGAATAAATAAATAAAACATTTTTTAATAAATAAATAAATAAATAGATAGATAGATAAAATAAAAATGCCCCTACAAAATTTACTTCTCCAAAAATTACTCATAGACTTTTCAATCACACAGACCTAAACAAACACTCTTCTGTTTGATCATTTTATTCTTTTTCTGCATGTCAGGCACACTGAAGTACTCTATCTAAAATACAGATGTCTACCTAGAGAAAAAAATTGTGAAGACATCGATTTATTTACTTCAGTAAACATACACTATTTTATCAGACAACTGACCATTAGTGGGGGGGGGGGGAGATTCCTAGAAGCTCAGTACTCAGGTGTGTGTGTGTGTGTGTGTGTAAAATCTTCATCCCACCTGGATGTTCAGCAGTTGAAAAATTCAAAAAGAGGTGAAGAGAGGGGAAGACTTTACCCTCAGGAAAAAAAGAAACTACTTTTAATATAGCAACTAAAATAACTGTCAGAAAAGATTGCTGATAAGTTCAATCCAATCTTTTTACTTTCCTCTTACTTGAATTAATCAGTGATATTCATAAGTTAATTCATAAACTAAAACCCACTGACAAAATTGTCAGTATGATCATGATACTCCGTAAGTTATAATCAAGTTTTCCAAAGGGAGTGAAAATTTTCAGAATTCCATGCTCAATTAACTAGAAAAATGAACCAGATCACTCCAAAGCCCAAATTATTTGAATTAATTAATACCCTATATAGCAGAGTTGACCTATAGATATGGTCTGGATACTTTCAAACCAGTGCTGCATTCAACAGACCAAAATAATTCTAAACTTGGGAAGCCACCGTCACAACAAATTAACTAGGTCCTGAAACGGTATTGATAGAATGGTGAGAAGAAAGAACCAAGAATAAATCAGAAAATACTGAAAAGAAAACTGGAAAGAGGGAAATAATGAACTAGAAGGAAACAGTATCAAAAGGTAAATCTTAAAATATTTTTTTAAGGGCGCCTGGGTGGCTCAGTTGGTTAAACGACTGCCTTCGGCTCAGGTCGTGATCCTGGAGTCCCGGGATCGAGTCCCGCATCGGGCTCCTTGCTCCGCGAGGAGTCTGCTTCTCCCTCCGACCCTCCCCCCTCTCATGCTCGCTCTCTCTATCTCATTCTCTCTCTCAAATAAATAAATAAAATCTTAAAATATATATATATTTTTTTAAGATAAAAAAACACTGAGTACCAGGAAGGTAAATTTAAGAACTAAAAAAGGAATTTCCCAAATTCAATCTGTTGGTCAAAGGCGGGGGGGGGGGGTACACACTACAGGGAAAAAAAAACAAAACTTGGAAACCAGCTCATTCTGATCTATAACACATAAGCAACAAAAGGTTGGATCATTATTCCTCACCATGTATTGTTTACAAATGCTGGTAAAAACACCCACTGCAATGGTCAAAGACCTTCAAGTAAAATACATGTATAAGGAAGTGGCATTAAAGCACTAAAGTGCAATTCGTAACTCCAAAAAACTATGCCAACAAAAAGACAGCACTATGAATGGTCTTGATCTAAGCTGTGTTCTGTAGTAGTCTGGAAAAACCTAAGTTTTGTAACTTTGGGGGCCAAAGTTGTCTCTGAGCTGCCTCCCAAGTCGGCAGGGAAAAACTACCTCTATATACCAAACTCACTAATCATTTATTAAGTCTGTTCCTAATTTGGATTTTAAGTACAATGATAAGTGCACTTGATTTGTCCTGTATTTTAAATAAAAGCTGACTTACTCGAATTTTCTAGTTTCACTTTGTTCCCTCACAATCACATCGAACTGATCTTAAGTTGCAGTCAACAGAATTTCTCTCTTCGATAATCCACCGCTCTATTTTGAAACACTTAAATTCTACACACAGGGTGAAACACAATCCAAGAAATTACCCAACGTCAAACAATCGGTCTAAAAATCTTCTGACAACTGTTGGAAGACTTTCAGAAAAAGCCTAACACCCAAATCACATGTCTGAATATCTGATACATATGGAAAAGCACTGCGAACTTTTTCTACTACGTATACAGTTCGTGATCGCAGAGAGGAAACTGCAGCGGCTACCCGGAGCGAGAGAACCGGTAAGGTAACAGGCTGCAAGGGCGTCGCTGATTTCTTGGCTACAGTGACAGAGGCGGGAGACACACCCCTAGCGTCGGTTTGAAACACTACAGCAATGAATTCTACCTAGGGATTAACGCGAGGGTTAAGGAAAGACAAATTTAAATCGCCATGATTCAAAAACAACCACGAGAGAGAGACTTACGAAGGTAACAAAGAAAACGAAAAACCCTTGACAGTAAAGAAGCACTGAAAACATATCCCCCTTTATCAAAGACCGAGTTAGACTACGTTTTCAGGAACATATACCTGGACCTTTCCGGTTCGCCAGTGCAGAGAGAAAAGCAGCAGCGAAAGGAACCCCATAAGGCTGCAAACAGCAGCGAAACACTAACAGGAGAGGGGAGAAGTGGCAGGATTCCTGCGAAAGCTCGCTGATTGAAAATGGAGTGGGAGAAAGAACAGGTCTGGAGAGAAAGTGGGTCTTATATAAAAAGCCATTTACCACGTATTAGTTCCCCCAGGATTCTGGAATATACCCGAACTTGAAGGAGTGAGTCTGGGGGTGAAAGGGGGCTCCACGTGGAGGAGGATCCGGAAAAAAGTAATGCAGGGCGACGAGTGGCCAGGACCAGGCCGATGGCCGGGGAGAAGGGGGTCGAGGCCCGGGCGGACTCCCGGGGGCGCGGGGGGGAGGGGGCGGAGGGGCGCCCCGCGGAGGCCCGGGGGCGGGCGCGGGGGCCCCGCGGTCCTGTCAAGCAGACGGCCCACCGCCTCCGCCCGCCGCCAACACACCCGGGCCACTGAGGGCTCTCTCGGACCCGCCGCGGCCCCAGTGGGGCCGGGTCTCTCGAATTTTCCACTGGGGGAAGCTGGCCGGAGGCATCGGGGCTCGCCCCCGCCCCCGGCCCTGGAACCGGCGGGCGGAGGAGGGATGGTGCATCAGGGAAGCAAAGGTCTCACCATTTTGCTCGGCGATCGGCGGCTCGCGCGGGAGGAGGAGAGTGTCGGCGCTCAGAAGAGCTCCCGCAGGAAGCGGCGGCGGCGGCGGCCCAGCTGTGCTGGGCTGAGGCGGCTGCGGCCCTCGGGACGCCCGCGGGGGAGGGGGTGCAGGCTGGGGGAGGGGAGGCGGTGCCTCGGGGCCCGCGCCGGCCGGGTGACTGGGCACACGGGAGCGGGCAGGGAAGAAGAGAAATTAAGGTCGAGATTCGGAGACAGAGAGAGCGGGAGGAGAGACGGCGAGAAAGGGGAGAGACAGAGAAGCAGAGAGAAAGGGGGGGGAGAGGGGGCCAGGCGGCTCGGGGGCTGCAGCCTAGCGCTCGCGCCAGAGCCGTGACGGACTCACTGCAGTGGCTCGCGCTGACCCGCAACCTCAAGGCACGAAAAAGGGGGAGGGCGGGAGAGGGAGGGGAAAGCGCCGCGCAGCGAGGCGGAGGGCGGGGGCGCGCGCGGGGCCGGCGGGGGGGGCGGGGCTTCCGCGAGAGGCGCACATCCGGGAACCCGCGCGCCGGCTCCGCGGTGGCCGCCGGGGTGCTCTGGCGAGCTCTGGTTGGGGATCGCGGAGCGCGCGACCACGTTCCCTCCACCGTGGGCCGCCCTTTGCGTGCGGTGTGGGGGGAGGACAGGGACGGGGGCGCGGACGTCGGTGACGTAGCGTGGCGGAGCCCTTCCTGTCATGTGGCTGGAGGCGGGCAGGTGGGGGGAAGGCTGGGTCGGGAGGAGGAGGAGGAAGTGCGAGGGTGCTGTGAGAGGGAGGAAATGTGAGGGGTGTCCGAGCTCCGGGGGAAGGCGTACTTGGTTCCAGGAGTAGGAGCCTCGTGGGGGAGGAGCAGCAGATGAGCGGCCTTAAAGTGTCAGAGCCACCCAGGCACTGCACCAAAAAACAAAAACAAAAAAAGAGGAAAATCCAAGCCCTGGAGCTAGAAGGGAATCCGTTTACTCAGGAGGATTGGTATCTTTGCATCAGTGTACCGACTTGGACCCACTACAAAATTGCTCGGCGCATCTAGACTGTTGTCACCCCGGTGCAGCACCCGCAGGCCCACACCCCAGTATGAGCTGGCAGGGTCAGGAGCCAGGTTGGAAAGACAGGGAAGAAGAGCCAAAGCTGGCTACAGCTCGAGGCTGAGGAGCCACAAAACAGCTGAGTGGAAGAGCTGCTTCCCACTCCCGCAAAGACTTGCTCACCCAGTTCTGTATTTTCCTTAAACCCTCCAAGCTGCCGTTTGACGGGGTGCCCAGTGTTTGTTTTTGAAACACATTCGAAGATGGATTGCCCACTTATCCCTTTAGTAGGGCTATATCTACTTTGGTGGCAATTACCATTCCCAGAAAATTCAGACTGTAATGGGAAATGGAAGAGCATAAGGAGGAAAGTTATTGGGGGCGGCGAGCCGATGGGAAAGGTGTGATAAGGATAGGGAAGAAAACATTTTGCAATTATTTTAACCATTATTCCCTTTCAAATTCTTGATAATCTTGAGGTTTATGTGTATGAAAGAGAGGGAGATAATGTTTTCTAGTGGTCAGAAACTCCTTATTGACAAATCCTTTGAATAGTTTTATAAAAAGCCGTAGTGTTTTTAAAGGCAGTCTGTTGACGCTTCTCACATAAGAGTGTTACTCTTTGTGGTAATTATTTTTCCATGATAAGCGCGCATCTTTTCTAAGAGGCTCAGTGGCATGCCTTAGGTCTCTCTGTTTCTCCCCCCCTCTCTCTTTTTCTAAGAACTACTTTCTGTGTCCAGATGAATAAAGAAAAGTAACTAAAACATAAAATTGTCTCATACAGTGAATACATCAAGCAAAGGCCAAGAAGTAACACTGCTTCTTATACTAAGTTTCTTATATATGTTTCTATTTATATACTAATATGTTACGTTCTAAAACAGGGAAAAGTCCCTAAGCTAAAATGTGTGTCATTTTATGTTTTTTAGGTATATTATTTTAATTAGTTTATCATAAAATTAAGATGTGCTCGTGTTGTTAAAAGTAATATATAAAAAAATTCCTCCCCCTTAACTCCACTTCTTAGAGGTAATCACTGTAACTGCATTCGTGTGTGTGTCCCTAGGACAGACTCAATGAAAATCAAATTATCATTCTGACTGAGGATTAAATACCAAGAAAGAATTTGATTTACATGGGATGCAGGAGATTTAGAGTAACCCATAATTTTGTGAAGATTTGAGCCAATTTAGACTACCATCATTCAACAAGTGTGTACTGTGAACCTAAATCAGAAATTCAAAAGCTAGGCACTGGGAAAGATTGGTTAGCCTCTGTTACTGACCAAAGCAAGAGACACAAGAGCCAAGTCTACTTGGTCCTTCTCATCTACAAATCTCCCAGATACACCATTTACATTCTCTCAGCCTTGTGTATACTGCATAAAATACAGGCATGTAGCAGGTTGCATCTCTGACACTGAAACTAATTAGTCTATTTTGAATCTATTGAGAGAGGCAAACCTAAAATGCACCTTTAATACACAGGGTTTTTGCCCTAAGGTTCAAAATGATTAAAACTTAATGATTCCATTAAGTTTTTGTGTAAAGCTTAGTATGGGAGGGGGCAAGTACCAAATAGTCCTGCAGCAAGTATGCATGTTTTTAGATAACTAGGTAAGTGAAAGACAAAGGACATAGCTAACAAATGGATCTTTTTCCTGGAAAACTTAGCAACCAAAAGATGACTGTTGGGGAGTTTTATGTCAGGTAAGTTGGAGGAAGACACACTTAAGACATCCCAGTTACAAGAATAGTAACAGCTATGCATGAGGTAATAAGTACTAATGGCAGAGGAAAAGAAGGGGTAAATATGAAAGACATGAAGCAAAAATGCACTGACAATGCAACTTAGTAGATGTAGGGAACAAGGATAGGAAGAAATAAAAGATGACCAATTTGGGGCGCCTGGGTGGCTGGCTCAGTTGGTTAGGCCACTGCCTTCAGCTCATGTCATGATCCTGGACTCCCAGAATCAAGTCACGCGTTGGGCTCCCAGCTCAGCAGGGAGTCTGCTTCTCTCTCTGACCTTCTCCCCTCTCATGCTCTCTCTTAAATAAATAAATAAAATCTTTAAAAAAAAAAAGATTACCAATTTTAGTTTGGATGACAGAAAATAAGGATGGCATTAAAAGAAACAAATCAGGAAAAGTTTGGATGCTGAGTGGAGAAAGAGGAGTTTGGATTTAAGAATGCTGAGCTGCTGATGAGAGATCCCAGTGGAAGCATTCAAGTAGGAGCTGGAAGTGCAGGTTAGGAGGGAGTAGAGAAGGGAATCGACTTCAAAACAGGTTGAAAGCAAAATCTTCAAGTTTTCTCTTATTTAGAGATAAAAAAAAAAGATGCAAAGATAGTAATTAAGCTGCTAAGCAGAAAGCAAATTAAAGAGAAAGAAAGTTTTAAGAAAGAGTAATGTTTATAGTCCTATTCGACCACAGACAGCCTCAGGCTTCAGTGTTTCCACAATTATCTTTAAGAAGTTAGAAATGTCACAGGAAATCCTATGTGTAGACTCTCCAGATCATTGTGATATCCAGAAATCTGCCTTATTCTTAAAGGACTGGTCACTGTCATTTATTCATATATAAGATTTAAGGGTGGTAGAAGAAACAAATTACCACTCCTGTAGTTGTTTCAGATAATTCCAGTGCAGTATTACCCCAAAGTGTCCACACTTTTATTCATGATTATACTGACTAATGTCAACTAGAAACCATGTTTAATTTTATACTCTTACACATAGGAAGAAAATGCCAATTAAAAAGGAGAGTTGATTAAAATGACTTGAAATTAATGTCTGTTCCTTTGTAGTTCCTTTGTTTTTTGTTAATGCAGATTTAAAGAAAATGTCTACCTCTCCTCCTAGCTAAAACACATATGTCCCAGTTCAAGAATCCCAGACTTAAGAATATTTTGTACCTTTTTGCCACCTAGTTTCACACCACAAAAGCCTCTTTCAGTGGACATGAGGTTGCATGGGGAATCGATTGCCTTCCTTCCCAGAATCCTCTTTT